CAAGCTAGTGTCCTAAAGGCGTTAGGGGGAAGTTGGTTGAGAGGAAGACCATATAAGCCACATAGGTCGATCAAGGCCTGGCAGATAGGGAAGCGCAAGCCTAGGTCGAAATGGGCCCGGAAGAAAGTGTAGTAACCATCGGGAGGGTTGTCGTAGGTGTCATCGTCACCAGGGGTGACGTAAGTCCCGGGATGACCAACCAAACCAAAGTCGAGACGAGTTGTGCTCGAAGAGGACTTGGAAGACTTAGAGGATCGGGGCCGGGATCGCTTAGGTTGTTGAGCAGGAGAGGGTATGGTCGAAGCACCAGGCACACGAGAAGACAGAGGCACGAAATCTGGGGGATCACGAGCGGAAAGGGGGATATGGTCTTGAGGATCTTCTTCCTCGATCTCGTCATCTTGACCAAGGAGTCGGCGAGACGAGTTCGTGAGGGTAGAGAGGGAATGACCAGGAATCTCCTCCTCTGGCTGGTCGACAAGGTAGGCGGAAGAAGAGATAACAGTCGTGGTGGGGCAATCGTCAAAATCGGAAGGCCGAATCATTGAGATAGGCTCAGGCTAGAGGATCTCTTGAACAGAATCGCTAGATAAACTGGGAGTCGCGGAAAGGGAAAAGGGGCTCATGTCCTCCCCACTGTGTCGATCATTTTCGCTCGAAGTGGCGGAATCTGGAAAAGAAGAAGAGAGAAGAAGAAAACAAAATTAAAACCAGAATTAACAAAAAGAAGGGAGGTAAAAGAAGGAAGAGCGAGGCAGGGCACAGAGGAAAGGTAGAATAGAAGGATGGAATGCGAGGAGGAACGAACGAGAAGAGGACGAACGGGAGGATGAAATTCAAAATCTAGCAAAAATATGTCAAGAAAAGAACTCAGAAAACTTACTCATGACGAACGACGCTATGTTGCCTGGAAGTCGGAGATTTGGAAATCGCCGGAGAGCTTGAAGTTGCAGGATGCTCGACAATTTGCAGATATCTCAGAATGTGAAAATAGGGATAGGGAAGAATTCTGGCAAAGGGTCGGTATTTATATGGAAGAAATCAGGAGCAGCGCGTTCTCCACCGCCCGATTAGGAAATGTTAACGGCCACGATGAGGAGGGAGCCGAACGGACGCGGGAGCAAGAGCCGTAGGATTAAAGTAGGTAATCTAACGGTGAGAAAAGAAGAGACGTGGGGGACAGAAGCGAAATTCGAGGAAGCACGAATNNGGCCATCATGATTTCTGACAGGTGAAAGGACGTACCCAAGAAAGCGGACAACTGGCAAAATTCAAAATTTGAAAAATACACGGAATTGATTGTCGGAAGGCAATGGTCGATACGACGAGGGAATTTTATCGGATGGTCGAAGATAGCAGGATGAAGTTCGTCGACACAAAAGACTACTCAGATCGAGTCATTTAGACTCGACCAGAGTGGGGGGACTAGATGATATGGGATATTATATACTAGACCGGTTCGCAGGATACTCCAAACAGAATAGTATGTGGGTGTGGTCGAGCAGTATCAACAGGTCTACAGAAACTCTAGCACCTGGTCGAGCAGGCACATTCCAGCGGGTATAGGCACGGGACCAATCATCTCTTGTTTCCGGAGCAGATTACACGTGCGGACACATGGACAGATCTGGTCGACAGCCAGAATATGCTAAAGGATCTCCGTCACGTGAAAGGGGGACACGCGGCGCTTTGTGAATGGGCCAAGGAATAACGAACTCTGACCTTCTCTGGCGCGGCTGACGCGTTTTCTGACACCAGGGAAAG